TTAGGACAGAATATCAATTTCTAAAATGCTGTTCCAACACACCTAATTATGTGTTTTAATATTTTGATATATATTTTTTTAAATTTATCCATATAAACTTTAAATTAAGGCTAACGTAAGTACATACTGATATAAAAAGGACCAAATACCCTGCTGATGGATATTTGTAAGGAATCTACAAGTAGATTTGGGAAAGCAACTACAAGTGATATAACTTTATGTTAGCACAGAACCCACATACAGTAAATAATGTTGCCTGTCTGAAACCAGTCTTCTGTACTTTAGTGTGTAAAAATGTCCTAATATATGTTCAGTATCTAGAATTATTTTCTCTTAATGTCATAAATGAATTGTTCTTCTACATCAGCAGTATTATATATTATTGTTTAGTATTGCGTTTGTTCTCAGTTGCACTGATCAATCCCCAAAATGCATTTGGTACATTTTTTCTCAAAATAAATGCTGCCATGTTTGTGACATTGAAGCAGCTCTGCCTCTTTGTTTATTAACGGTACATGTTCATTTAATTACCTGAATATAAAATCTCAAGCTTATTTTGTGGGATCTATGAGCACACATGCCATGATGAACTGAAGATGCTACATAGCACACGTATGAAGAATACTGAAGATAGTGTTCCAATAAATAACATAAAATATAGTTATAGCTAAAAGTCCAGGGACAGACGGCAGTGATTAGGGGATCTTAAAGAGTGTAATTATGGATTGAGGAACAATAACAGGTAACAAAGGCACTTTAAATGTGAATAAACATTTTAAAGTCTTTCAATAGGCGGCAAGGGAAAGGTAGCATCTACTTTGTATTAATGGCTCAGGACAATTTACTGCAAGTAGATACAGGAGATTAATGATACAGTGTGATTGTCAATGTCTAACACTACATTTTGTTCTTTGGGTAATACAATAGAGCTCGAGCTCTGTAAGGAAACACATTGCAGATGGTAGAATCAAGACCTCATAAAATTAAACTTAGTGCCAATGATTGCCGCTACATTTAAATATAGCCTCTTAATTCTGCAATAGGTTTAAAGTTTCACTTTATGTATTTAACCCCTTAAGGACCAAACTTCTGGAATAAAATGGAATCATGACATGTCACACATGTCATGTGTCCTTAAGGGGTTAAGGAGGAATACTCACTTCATCCAAACTAAGGTTAAATGTAAAGTATCAAACAAAAAATTAACTTACCTGAAATTGGTGCCATATACATTGAATACACCATATATCACAAACATACATGAACTATCCAATGCATAATACATTGATTTATTCACCTTTCCTCTGTTCCAGTGCAGCTTTGTGGGTGTTACTCTTAATTATCTTTACTCCCTCCTCTGCTCGTCCTGTGCTGCACCTGTGGTCTTCTTTAATTTGCCCTGCTTGGGGACACATCCCCAAGCAGTGAAAACCTCCTTACCAACATTGGCATGTTGGTTTCATTGTCGGAATGTAGTAAACATTTTGCAGGACACTGATTGGCCCATTATTATGCACTTTTGTGTTAGCTTGTTAGTTTGATTCTTTCCAAATCAGGGGTCATATAACGGAAAGCTGGCCATCCTAAAAAAAAAATAAAAATTATTTTTGGAAACAAATGTTTGGCTAAAACTAACTTGCCGTGCACAAGTCTACTTGATTCTTTAATTTTCTAATTTTCATAGATATTCATAAGTGTTATTTCATGTTAGGAAACACAAGATAATATCTATAATTGACTTGATTTTTATAATAATTTTTTTGTTTTGTTTTGCTCTCTTCTGTACTTATCTCACTTGAGATCCTGTTTTTTTTTTTATTGTCTAGAACGATTCTGCATCAATGTGCTAAATTGACGAGCAATCAACTTAGTAACTAATTAATGGTTTTTACAGATTGCTCTGTTTATGGCTCAGAATTGTTCCTGTTTATCTTGGTCAGTATACCCATATATTATGTCTACCTTCTTGTGAAAAGCATGTGTTGCAAATGGGATGACGTGCATGATATAAAAATGCATACGTGGTGGTATTTAAATAATGCCTTTTTCTTTTGTCGTAAGTCTTTAGGTCACAGTTTTTTAACAAAGTATCTATATATTCTGCCACAATTAAATGAATGTACAATGGTAATCTCAACTCTGTAAAAAGAAATGCTAAAAACAACAAAAAGCTAGATTTGAATCATTATCTCACATTATGTATTCTCTCTGTATGGTGTTACTAAAAACACCGTTTTTAGGTTGTCTTTTAGTTTCCACAGTAATTGTATCCTCATAATAGCTTGTCATGAATTAATGTGATTGATATTGTCTTTCAAAATAAGCAGTGAATACTCTATGCAATACCTGCTGTTATGACAGAAGACATAAATAATGTTTGTTAGATAATTTCCATTAAAGGATTTTGTATTTAAAAGCCCTGCACTGCAGTCCAGGTACACGTAATATTTCTTAATCAAATGTGTGATTAGAGAAGAGTAGAACTATGTCATTTTGAGAGTCTTATATTTGATATTTTAGTCATTAGTAACATTATTTTATCTCAATTACTTCTGAGGTACTTTGAATCCTATCGATTAGTGCTGTACTAAACTACACAGGTTCAGACAAATTTTACTGGGAAAATGTAATATAGTATGACCAATGCTAAATGTGTTATTCAGATATACTAATCAAATTAATTTATCCATTTCATGATTTCAGAAATGCTATTTTTAATGAATAAAGTTCACAAAGGACATCCTAGAGACCATTATAATATTCACTATCATACAATACAAATATTGTGATTTCATAATGTATACTGCATGTCAAATGCTTTTTTATAGCAGGTTTCCAGTGTCTCTGTGTTCCTAAATGGCCAAAGGATCCCAACCTAGCACGTAGGGATTTACTCTTATTGTCTTAACAAATATAAGAATATTGTACAGGTGTGTACAATGGAGAATTTTGTCCAGAGTGATGCACAGTATAGCAGCATCCTGTGTGAAAATTGCCCCCAAATTATGCATAAAGCGGGTGATACGTGGCATAAGAGGCCAAAGGTAACATTATAATAGTCATGTCATTGATGTCAGCAAATAAATATTAGAGAATAACAAGATGACAAGAAGAAAGTTTATTCAGCAAACTGGTTGTGAAACAAGGAAAACAGCCGTGGGTCTTTGGAAATATAGCTATTGCAGAAACAGATATGGGGTGAAGTTTAGTGATAACTATTAATCTCTCACACAGGAAATTAACTGAAAGGAGAGCAGGGACGGAACTAAGTGATGCATACTGTATAAAAGTTCCAGCAGCTCCACTATCAATCATAGGAGGCTTACTGGACTACTGAAGACATAGGAGAGTGAGTACCTTTCTCTAAGCCTCCTCAACAAACCCTTTACTTAGTCCCAAATTTAGGCCTAAATATAGAAAAAATAAACAAAACTTTTATCTTCATGCTTGGTTTCACTCCAATTAAAAACTAAACATCCCCTATACCCCAATGCTAAACAACCCAATTCGAACCATAACCTTAATAATGCTAAACACCCCTGTACACTAATGCTAAAGTTAACCCCACTTATCCTAAATCCAATAATCCTAAACACTTCTACTACAATTAAAGCCCTTCTCAAGCTTTGAAGTAGTTTAACAGCTAAACAACTTATGTTTTATAACTCTGAATTTAACTCTTCTCACACTTTAAATCTCCCTTTACCAAACATTGGCTTCCTAAGAATGGCGGCCGGGCAGTGATTCCATTGCTTTACCGGCTCTTCCCAAAGGAGGCAAATCTGCTACAAAATGGGGCGGGTGTGCTCAAACTAGTGGCAGGACAACCTGGTGTGAAGGCATGCCAGGGTGGCTGCCAATCAAGCAGATCAGTCCAATGAGGGAGGGGCTTGCAGGGAGCACTGTTTCTGTGCTCTCTGCAGGGTCCTACTGCCCTGAGTATAGTTCAAAAGCCTCTAATGATGTATTCACACTACATTTTTTGTGAACAGTTCCCTGATGTCCCCATGAGCAGGACCTGAAAATTGGGACTGTTCCACCAAAACCAGGCAGGTTGGGTGGCATGCTTTACCCCAAACACTCCTAGCCTTATCTGTAACCCTGCATGCATATACACAGCTGCATACACTCCTACACTCACTAATTCAAATGCAATATAATACAAGGAAAAAAACTAATTCTGCTCCTCCTTCCCCTAATTTTCATTTGAGTAAGCACAAAATTAAAGGGACTCGATCTTAAAACAGGAATAGTGTGTTTCCCTCATTTGAGCACCTTCCAGAAAAAAAAAGACAAATCTGACCCAAGAAGATCAGAGAAGAGTTGAAGTTTATTCTGGGGTTAGAAATCTCTCTTCCTCATCCCCTGTTAGCGCAGCCGTTTGCAGTTACTCTGACGTCAGATGCCTCAAATTGTGGTCGGGGTGTGTTTACAGCCCAAAACACGATAAGAGGAATTTGGTCAGACCAAGAGAGATTCCTTTATGTAAACATCTTGGACTTAAGAGCAAGACAATTAGCTCTTAAGGACCTACTTCCTTTAAACCAGTTACTGATGGTAAAAGTCCAATCGGACAACAGGACAGCGGTGGCTTATATAAACCACAGAGGGGGACAGATCAAGGGATCTTTGTTTGGAGGCTCTAGATCTTTAGTCTTGGGCTTTAGCAAACAAAGTTCGGGTTTACGCAGAATATGTTCTGGGTGAGGCGAACAAGCTTGCAGACTCATCCTCTCGCCAGAGTTTGTTTCTGGCAACGGTTCAATTAAAGATTGCTCCATTCCAACGCATAAAAGAAATTTTGGCCAGAGACATTGCATCCCAAACTTCTGCACTAACTCCCAGAATTTGGACAAAGGGAGCTTGGAAAATGGATGCACTGTCTTTCCAATGGACAGATGTTCCAGCCCCTTATGCCTTTCCTCTCCATCTTTACTGATGAAAATGCTGGAGAATATCCGCAGGGACAGGGTACAGAGTTTAGTTCTCGCTTACCCAGTATGGACCTCCAGACCCTGGTACTCCTTGATCCATCAGTTAGTCAAAAGAACCAAGATCCCATTGGGCTTGACTGTGGGCTGCTTTCAGGGAACCAGCGATATTTTGCTCCAGCTTCCACAGCTGATGTGGATCGCAGCCCTGGTAAGCTGATAACGAATCCCCTTTTATCAGATCAGTTCCTGGACATTAATTCATTTTTAAGACGCAGAACTATTGTAAGTTATAGACAGATGATTGAGGAATTCAAAGAATGGAGGTTTCTTTTCTATCTACTTCTCCTTGGTCTGACACCATACCATTAGCTTTAGAATTTCTAGAAGTTCAAATCTGGTTTAGCGGTCAGCACCATCAAGACCTATGGATCTGTTTACATTTTCTTACCCATAACCTTACTCAGGATGCCCTGTATTTGAGATTACTAAAAGGGTTAATTGTCCGCTGCCCATGTACTCCATGTTACACATCTACTTGGATAATGCTAAAATTGACTTAAGATGCACTGCTATTAAGTTGGCTTCTCTGCTGTTTTTGGTCTTGGCAGCTAGAGGAGCTGAGTTAACTCAAATCTATATTTCATAACGGTGGTTGTCCTGCACACCGGGAGGGTTCCATATTATACTAAAATGGAGACAAAAACTTTCCCATATTTTCCCAGGTCCGGTGGAATTGGATTTGGTTCAAGATCCTTCCGAACCAGGCTTATGTTTAGTCAACCTGTTACAATCTTACCTTGACCTTTCTGCTGCTGTTAGAAATATCAGTCAATTATTTATTACATCAAGGAATCCCTTTCATCCAGCCAAAGGTAAAACAGAGGTTGGGTACTATCCAACATCTCTTCAGCTGGTATAGATGTTTCTGTTTTCAAAGGCCACTCAATTAGGGGCTTTATCTTGAAAGCTGCAAGGTGATTGTCCAGTAAAACATTTGTTAGATTTTACTGGAGGCCTCCCAGAGGACAAATCAGAGTTTGCAGGAATCTATGATCTATGATGGGATGAGCATAAACACCTAGCAATAGCGCCCATCCCACCCTCCCCTAGTGTAAAGGGTTTTGCCTGCTGCTGGTAGTTTGTTTTTCTTTACAGATGTTAAAGTTATCTTGTGGTTATTCAGCCTATTTCTAACTGCTTTCTTTCTTTTACAGATTATAATCGCACTCCAATATACCAAGGATCCACCTATGTAGGAAGATTGGATGCTAGTAGTATCTGCAATATATAATTCTAATGTGCTCCTTACATTATTATTATGATATTTATAGAGCGCCGTCAAATTCCGCAGGGCTTTACAATGGGTGGACGAACAGACATGTAGTTGTAACCAGACAAGTTAGACACACAGGAACAGAGGGGTTGAGGGCCCTGCTCAATGTGCTTACATGCTAGAGGGAGTGGGGTAAAATGACACAAAAAGGTAAGGATAGTATTAGACTAGTGACAGTTGCAGAAGAGGAATCAGTCAGGAGCTATTAACAGTTTAATTGATACGCTTTTATGAAGAAGTGGGTTTTTAACGATTTTTTGAAGGAGTGGAGACTGGGTGAGCATCTAACGGAGGAGGGAAGCGAGTTCCACAGGAACGGTGCAGCCCTCGAGAAATCTTGAAGGCGAGCATCAGAGGTGGGAGTACGGACAGAAGATAGACGTAAGTCTTCAGCAGATCGTAAGGGCCTAGACGGACATACTTGTGTATAAGGGAGGATAGATAGGTGGGAGCAGCATTATGTAGAGATTTGAAAGCAAGAACCAGAATTTTTAATTGAGCTCTATATTTTATAGGAAGCCAATGTAGGGACTGACAGAAGGGTGAGGCATGGGAGGTGCGGGCAGACAGAAAGTTGAGACTCGCCGCCACATTCATTATGTACTGTAACGGCGCAAGTTGGGAGCATGTAAGACCACTGAGAAGTGGATTACAGTAGGCAAGGTGAGAAAGGACAGTGGAATGGACCAACACCTTAGTCGCATCTGGTGTTAAGTAGGGGCGGACGCGCAATGTTTTTGAGATGGAAATGACAGGATTTGGCGATAGATTGAACATGAGGCTTGAAGGAGAGGTCGGAGTCAAAGAGAACACCTAGGCAGCGAGCCTGCGTGGTGGAGCTGTCGGTAGCACCGTGGACTTGGAGGGAGACAGACACAGGAGTAACAACACTTGAGGGAGGAAAGACCAGAATTTCAGTTTTGGTCAAATTTAGTTTAAGGAAGTGGGCAGCCATCCAGTTAGAAACAGCAGAGAGGCAATCAGAGACACTAGTCAAGAGGGACGGGGAGAGATCAGGAGAGGACAGGTAGATTTGCGTGTCATCTGCATAGAAATGATATTGGAAGCCAAAGGAGCTAATGAGTTTACCAAGGGAGGCAGTATAGATGGAGAACAGTAGGGGACCATGGACTGAACCTTGGGGGACACCATCAGAGAGGAGTTGGATGAGAAGAAGCAGAGCCAGAGAAAGAAACACTGAAAGAGCGCTACATAAAGAATCTGCTCTCAGAGACTTGTTACAACATTTGACTTATCCTCACAGAATTCATTTTGTTGCAATTTACGATGTTCCAGTTTCAGTGAATACTTTCTTAAACTTATACATTGATGCCTTGTTATCAGTTTAGCTGTGTGCAGTATGCAACAGTTTTCAAGTCCATCTCATATGTCTTACGTATTATTAAATATTTTCTTGTTTCTCTTTACTATTGAGTTCTTGAATTATTTTATATTTAGATGTTTACGTTTTTTCTACCCTTTGTACGCTGTTACTGGTTGACTACTTTTTGGTATATTTTATCCATTTTTGGGGTTATATATATTCTCAGTGTTTCGTGGAATGAGCTAACCATCCGCAGTTTCCCAATTTTAAAAATCTGAAGTAATCAGGATTACCATGCTCAGCACGGCTCTCCTGATTACCTGATTGGCTGAAACACTGTTGCTGTGCAGGAGCACAGTGCAAGCGTTGTTCAGCTCTGGCATTTGACTCCGGGAGGCTGCCGCACACCCACTAGCTTTGCTAAGTGGTTATGCTCATCCCCAAGACAAAGAAAGTTTGCAGATCATACACTGAACAAAATTAAAAACGCAACACTTTTGTTTTTGACGCCATTTTTCACCAGCTGAAATATCTAAGACTTTTTCTATGTACACAAAAGGCCTATTTCTCTCAAATATTGTTCACAGATCTGTCTAAATTTGTGTTAGTGAGCACTTCTCCTTTGCAGAGATAATCCATCCACCTCACAGGTGTGGCATATCAAGATGCTGATTAGACAGCATGATTATTGCACAGGTGTGCCTTAGGCTGGCCACAATAAAAGGTCACTCTAAAATGTGCAGTTTTACTGTATTGGGAGGGGTCCAGGGGGGGTCTGAAAACTAGTCAGTATCTGGTGTGACCACCATTTGCCTCATGCAGTGCAACACATCTCCTTCGCATAGAGTTGCTAAGGTTGTTGAATGTGGCCTGTGGAATGTTGGTCCACTCTTCTTCAATGGCAGTGCGAAGTTGCTGGATATTGGCAGCACCTGGAACACGCTGTTGTATACGCCAATCCAGAGCATCCCAAACATGCTCAATGGGTGACATGTCCAGTGAGTATGCTGGCCATGCAAGAACTGGGATGTTTTCAGCTTCCAGGAATTGTGTACAGATCCTTGCAACATTGGGCCATGCATTATCATGCTGCAACATGTGGTGATGGTTGTGGATAAATGTCACAACAATGGGCCTCAGGATCTCGTCACAGTATCTCTGTGCATTCAAAATGACATTAAAAAAATGCACCTGTGTTCATTGTCCATAACATTCACCTGCCCATACCATAAGCCCACTGCCACCCTGAGCCACTCGATCCACAACATCGACATCAGCAAACCATGATGCCATACACGCTGTCTGCCATCTGCCATGTACAATGAAAACCAAGATTCATCTGTGAAGAAAACACCTCTCCAAAGTACCAGACGCCATTGACTTTGCCTACTCAAGTCGGTTATGATGACGAACTGCAGTCAGGTCGAGACCCCATTGAGGATGACGAGCATGCAGATGAGCTTCCCTGTGATGGTTTCTGACAGTTTATGCAGAAATCCTTTGGTTATGCAGACCGATTGTTGCAGGTGGCTGGTCTCAGACGATTTTGGAGGTGAAGATGCTGGATGTGGAGGTCCTGGGCTGGTGTGGTTACACGTGGTCTGCGGTTGTGAGGCCAGTTGGATGTACTGCCAAATTCTCTGAAACACCTTTGGAGATGGCTCTTGGTAGAGAAATAAACATTCAATTCATGGGCAACAGCTTTGGTGAACATTCCTGCAGTCAGCATGCCAATTGCACGCTCCCTCAAAACTTGTGTCATCTGTGGCATTGTGCTGTGTGATAAAACTGCACATTTTAGAATGGCCATTTATTGTAGCCAGCCTAAGGCACACCTGTGCAATAATCATGCTGTCTAATCAGCATCTTGATATGCCACACCTGTGAGGTGGATGGATTATCTTGGCAAAGGAGAAGTGCTCACTAACACAGATTTAGACAGATTTGTGAACAATATGTGAGAGAAATAGGCCTTTTGTGTAAAATGGGAGCAAAAACAAAAGTGTTGCATTTATAATTTTGTTCTATGTAGATTCCTGCAAACTCTGGCTTATTCAAGCATACATTAGCAATACAAGAATGAAAAATCATCTAATTCTTTTTATATCGTCATGAAACATTCAGTACATTTTTAATATTATGTCAGAATCAAATGTAAGAGAAAAGTGATTATAAAATGCATTACAGATGTTATTTTGAAGTTCTGAAATACAGAGTGACATTGAACATAAAACATCTTCATCTTCAGACCTCAAACAGGTCCCAGATTTTCCGATGCCTAAGCAAAGCCCTTTGTTAGCTCAAAGCAATATCTTCTAATTGGCTCTTCAGTGCAAAATCAGATTTGTTAGTTAGCTGAACTGTTTATGAATATAGGATTATGCCTAAACCTGTTTGCATTTCTCTGCTCCATATTTAAGTCCTTTCTCTATTCATCCAGAACTTCATCAGAACAGATAATCAACCACTTCATGAACAGATGTGCTACTCATTCATCTAGTTGTGTGACGATAATGAAGGAAATTTCATCTGGAGTATCTATGGAAGATTATGTGAAAGACAGATTGATATGAATATTGAAAAAAAACAACTCCATATCATAATCAGAAAGAAAACATAAAAAGATGATCATTAACTGCCCTGCAACATTGCATTTGATTTAGTCTAACATTATAAAAATATAAAACTCTATATGTATGGACAGCACATCAGCTGATGGTTTCCAAAACATGTATATCCTGTAAACGGAATTTTAGCTAATACTTTAAAGACCTTTTTATTTGCTATCAGAACTGATTGCGTATAAAAAAAAAGTACTGCGTGAAGGCCATATTTCCTACACACTTGATATTTTAAAACATTTATTGATGTATAAATATATATGAAGAATGTATACGTGACTGTAGGCCTCATTAATGTCCACGCCTAATCTATAATTTGTTCATGATAAGGTCTATTATGGGCGGTCAGCAAGTTGGAATTCTGAAATGTCATATGGACAAATCAAGAAACAAACATAATGAGCAAAGGGAAAGCTGTTTCATTTGGGGCATGTCTACTAAACAGTGAGCAGCCAGCAGCTGCTCATTGAAGTTAGCAACTAGCATCTGGGCAGCTATTGATGCCCAACCACTATAAAGGTCCTCTCCTATGAGGATGTGGCCTGTACAACACACTCAATGGGCATCGGGTGGGGCGCTATAAAAACATGGGGGACAGTCCCTCTTAACCTCATGCCAAAAGCAGTGGATGGGGCTCTAAC